AAAGAAAAAATAGGAGGAAAGGGTAAAAGTGGGAAAAATGGGAAATAATGGGGGGAAAGGGCAAAAAAATAGAATAAACATAGCAAAAATGGGGTAAAAAATATAAAAATGGGATAAAAATGGGGTAAAATCAGCAAAAACTCAAAGGGAATAAAATCAACCAAAACCACCCAAAAGAGCCGACCCAAAAAACACCCAAACCCCATAAACCTAAACCCCAAAATCCCCGTTCTTCACCCAAAACTGACCCAAAATCCCAGTTTTTTACCCCAAATCCCCGTTTTTTCCCCAAAATCCCAGTTTTTCACCCCAAAATTCCCAGTTTTTTACCCCAAATCCCCATTTTTTTCTCCAAATTGACCCATCCTGGTCCTTCTCCACCATCTTGAGCTCTAGGTGGACCCCATAAACCAAAACCCCCCAAATCCCCATTTTTCACCCCAAACTGCCCCTAAATCCTTATTTTTCACTCCAACCCCCCCATTTTTCCCCCAAATCTCCATTTTTCACCCCAAAACCCCCGTTTCACCCCAAAATCCCCCTTCTGCTCCCCAAACCGACCCATCCTTGTCCTTCCCCACCACCCGCCGAGAACCGGACACCGTCAACCCCCAAACTGCCCATTCTTCACCCCAAACCCCGTTTTTTTCCCGAAACGGCCGTTTTTCAGCCCAAACTGACCCGTCCTGGTCCTTCTCCACCACCTTGAGCGCCTCCAGCGCCTGCAGCACGCGCCGGGCCACGGCGCCGGAGCCGCGGCTGAAGTGGCTGGGCCGGACGCCGCGGCGCTGCCGGCCGCCGTACACCTTGGCCATGGAGCCCACGCCCGCCCCGCCACGCAGGTACAGGTGACGCGCCGTGGAGGCTGCAGAACACGCCAGGAACATGTGAGAGACATGTGAGGGACCCCCGGGTGATCNACATGTGAGAGACATGTGAGGGACCCCCGGGTGATCACAGAGCCCGCCCCGCCACGCAGGTACAGGTGACGCGCCGTGGAGGCTGTGGGACACGCCATGGACACGTCAAGGACACGTGGGACAGGCACCGGTACCGGTACCCCAGTTGGTATCCCGGTCGGTATCCCGTTATCCCGGCCGGTATCCCGGTCGTTATCCCGGTATCCCAGTCGGTATCCCGGCCGGTATCCCGTTATCCCGGCCGGTATCCCGGTCGTTATCCCGGTATCCCAGTCGGTATCCCGGCCGGTATCCCAGTCAGTAACCCGGTCGTTATCCCGGCCGTTATCCCGGTCGTTATCCCGGTCTCCCGGCCATTATCCCAGTCGTTATCCCAGTCGTTATCCCGGTCGTTATCCCGGCCGTTATCCAGGTACCCCGGTCGTTATCCCAGTCATTATCCCGGCCGTTATCCCGGCCGTTATCCCGGTATCCCAGTCGGTATCCCAGCCGGTATCCCGGCTGTTATCCCGGCCGTTATCCCGTTATCCCGGCTGTTATCCTGGCCGTTATCCCGGTCGGTATCCCGGTCATTATCCCGGCCGTTATCCCGGTACCCCGGTCGTTATCCCAGTCATTATCCCGGCCGTTATCCCGGTCGTTATCCCGGCCGTTATCCCGGTATCCCAGTCGTTATCCCGTTATCCCGGCAGTTATCCCGTTATCCCAGCCGGTATCCCGGCCGTTATCCCGGCCGTTATCCCGGTCATTATCCCGGTATCCCGGCCGTTATCCCGGTCAGTATCCCGGTACCCCGGTCGGTATCCCAGTCAGTATCCCGGTCTCCCGGCCGTTATCCCAGCCGTTATCCCGGCCGTTATCCCGGCCGTTATCCCGGCCGTTATCCCAGCCGTTATCCCGTTATCCCGGCCGTTATCCCGGTGCCGGCCCCGCTGACCTGCCCGCGTGTAGAACCAGTTCTCGTCGTACGGCGCCAGCTCCTTGTGCTTGGCCAACTTCACCGTGTCCGCCCAGTCCGGCACCTTCAGCTTCCCGGACCTGCACCGGGAACCGGGANCGTCGTACGGCGCCAGCTCCTTGTGCTTGGCCAACTTCACCGTGTCCGCCCAGTCCGGCACCTTCAGCTTCCCGGACCTGCACCGGGAACCGGGAGTGGGAACGGGAACCGGGAATGGGGAATGGGAACCGGGAATGGGGAATGGGAACGGGGAAAGGGAACCGGGAATGGGAACCGGGAATGGGAACCGGGAATGGGAACCGGGAACCGGGAATGGGGAACGGGAACCGGGAATGGGGAACGGGAACCGGGAACCGGGAGTGGGAACGGGAACCGGGAATGGGGAAAGGGAACCGGGAATGGGAACCGGGAACCGGGAATGGGAACCAGGAATGGGAACGGGGAGTGGGAACCGGGAATAGGAACGGGAAATGGGAACGGGAATGGGGAAAGGGAACGGGGAATGGGAACCGGGGAATGGGGAAAAGGAACCGGGAATGGGAACCGGGAATGGGGAACGGGAACCGGGGAATGGGAACCGGGGATGGGAACCGGGAATGGGAACCGGGACTGGAAACCGAGACTGGAAACCGAGACCGGGACCGGAGGATGGGAACGGGAATGGGAACAGGGATGGGACCGGAAATGGAAACCAGGAATGGGGAAAGGGAACCGGGAATGAAAACCGGGAATGGGACCGGGAGTGGGAACCGGGGATGGGGAAAGGGAACCGGGGATGGAAACCGGGACCGGGAACCAGCACCGGGAACCGGGAATGGAAACCGGGAGTGGGACCCGGGAACGGGGAACGGGGAATGGGAACCGGGAACGGGAACCGGGAGTGGAAACCGAGAGTGGGAACCGGAAATGACAACAGGGACCGGGGATGGGAACGGAACCGAGAACAGGGATGGGACCAAAAATGGAACCGGGAATGGGAACCGGGACTGGGGAAAGGGAACCGGGAATGGAAACCGGGACTGGGGAAAGGGAACCGGGAATGGGAACCGGGACCGGGAACTGGGAATGGGAACGGGATGGAACCAGGAATGGGAACCGGAGATGGGACCAGGACCAGCACCGGGAACGGAACCGGGGATGGGACCGGGAACCGGGAACCGAGCATGGAACCGAACCGGGAACCGAGCGTGGAACCGAACCGGGGATGGGACCCGGCAGCAGCAGCAGCACCGCCCCGCCCGCCCCTCGGCGGTCCCTCCGCTCCGTGCCCGGTTCCCCCGGTCCCTCCCGGTCCCTCCGGTCCCCCGGTCCCGCTCACTTCTTCAGGAACGCCGCCAGCGCCCTGACGAACTCCTGCTGGTTCACGTCCTTCACCGTCACGCCGGGCATCTGCGGGGACACGCGCGGGGTCACTCCCGGCCCGCTTTTCCCCGTTTTTCCCGTTTTTTCCCCGTTTTTTCCCCGTTTCTCCCGGCCCCGCTCCTGCCCCGACCTCGCCGCCGCCGCCGCCGCCGGAAGAGGCCGAGCACGGGGCCGCCCGCGCAGCCTGCAGGGGCAAACCTCGCGAGATTTCCCCCCCGCAGCCAATCAGCGCCGGCGAGATCACGCGCCGACCAATCGGCGGGGAGATGGGCGGGGCCGCGGGTGAGTGGTGCGGCCCCCCCCCGTGTTGGGAATGGTTCGGTCCGCGTGGCCACGCCCCTCCAAGGGAACGGCGGCTTCTGATTGGTGGAGCCAGTTCTGGAGGCTCCGCCCACCAGGGGGTCCCGGAATGTCCCCAAAGGGTCCCAAAATGTCCCCAAGGTGTCCCAAAATGTCCCAAAGTGTCCCAAAATGTCCCCAGAGGGTCCCAAAATGTCCCAAAGTGTCCCAAAATGTCCCCAAAGGGTCACAAAATGCCCCCAAATTGTCCCAAAATGTCCCCAAAGTGTCCCAAAATGTCCCCAGAGGGTCCCAAAATGTCCCCAAATTGTCCCAAAATGTCCCAAAGTGTCCCAAAATGTCCCCAGAGGGTCCCAAAATGTCCCCAAAGGATCCCAAAATGTCCCCAAGGTGTCCCCAGAGTGCCCCCAAGGGGTCCAAAATGTCCAAAAGTGTCCCCAGGGTGTCCCTGTGACCCCCCAGAGGTGTCCCCAAGGTGTCCCAATGTCCCCAGAGTGTCCCCAGGGTGTCCCCCTGTCCCTGGGCCACCCCCAAGGTGTCCCCAGGGTGTCCCCCTGGTGTCCCCAAGGTGTCCCAATGTCCCCTGGGACACCCCAAAGTGTCTCCCGAGTGTCCCTATGTCCCTGTGCCACCCCTGGATGTCCCCGGGGGGTCCCCAAAGTTTCCCAAAGGTGTCCCCAACGTGTCCCAGTGTCCCTGTGCCACCCCCAGAGTGTCCCCAAGGTGTCCCAGTGTCCCCCCAATGTCCCCGAGGTGTCCCCGAGGTGTCCCTGTGACCCGCCAATGTCCCCAAGGTGTCCCTGAGGTGTCCCCGTGACCCCACAGTGTCCCCAAAGTGTCGCCATGTCCCTGGGCCACCCCCAAGGTGTCCCCAAAGTGTCCCAGCGTCCCCTTGGTGTCCCCAGGGTGTCCCAGTGTCCCCCCAGTGTCCCCCCAATGTCCCCGAGGTGTCCCCAAGGGGTCCCCAAGGTGTCCCAGCGTCCCCTTGGTGTCCCCAGGGTGACCCAGTGCCACCCTCGGATGTCCCCAAGGTGTCCCAATGTCCCGCCAATGTCCCCAAGGGATCCCCAAGGTGTCCCAGTGTCCCCAGAGTGTCCCCAAGGTGTCTCAATGTCCCTGGGCCACCCCCAAGGTGTCCCCGAGGTGTCCCAATGTCCCCCCAGTGTCCCCACAATGGCCCCAAGGTGTCCCCAGGGTGTCCCAGTGTCCCCCCAATGTCCCCCCAATGTCCCCTTGGTGTCCCCAAGGTGTCCCAGTGTCCCCCCAATGTCCCCTTGGTGTCCCCAGGGTGTCCCAGTGTCCCCCCAGTGTCCCCCCAATGTCCCCGAGGTGTCCCCAAAGGGTCCCCAAGGTGTCCCAGCATCCCCTTGGTGTCCCCAGGGTGTCCCTGTGACCCCCCAATGTCCCTGAGGTGTCCCTGAGGTGTCCCCAAGGTGTCCCAATGTCCCCCCAATGTCCCCTTGGTGCCCCCAGGGTGTCCCAATGTCCCCCCAGTGTCCCCCCAGTGTCCCCTTGGTGTCCCCAGGGTGTCCCCAAGGTGTCCCAGTGTCCCCTTGGTGTCCCCAGGGTGTCCCAGTGTCCCCCCAGTGTCCCCGAGGTGTCCCTGAGGTGCCCCCAAGGTGTCCCAATGTCCCCCCAGTGTCCCCCCAATGTCCCCTTGGTGTCCCCAGGGTGTCCCAGTGTCCCCCCAGTGTCCCCTTGGTGTCCCCAGGGTGTCCCCAAGGTGTCCCAGTGTCCCCCCAATGTCCCCTTGGTGTCCCCAGGGTGTCCCCAAGGTGTCCCAGTGTCCCCCCAGTGTCCCCGAGGTGTCCCCAGGGTGTCCCTGTGCCACCCCCGGATGTCCCCAAGGGGTCCCCAAGGTGTCCCAGTGTCCCCTTGGTGTCCCCAAGGTGTCCCAGTGTCCCCCCAGTGTCCCCTTGGTGTCCCCAGGGTGTCCCAGTGCCACCCCCGGATGTCCCCAAGGCGTCCCCAGCTGCTGCCACCTCCCTGTCCCTTTAAGAAGGGGGCGTGTCCCACCCAAACCCCGCCCCCTCCCCTCCAGCCAATCACGGACGGCGACACAAACGAGGGGCGGAGCTCCAAAGATTTTCCCCTTTGTTAAAACGGTCACGTGACCCCGCCCGGCCCCACCCGCGGGGAAAAGGGGCGTGGCCACCCAGGGGGCGTGGCCACACAAGGGGGCGTGGCCACCCAGGGGGCGTGGCCACCCAGGGGGTGTGTCCACCCACAAGGGGCGTGTCCACCCAGGGGGCGTGGCCACCACAAGGGGCGTGTCCACCCAGGGGGTGTGGCCACCCAATGGGGGTGTGGTCACCCAAAAGGGGCGTGGCCACCAAATGGGGTGTGGCCACCCAAGGGGCGTGACCACACAAAGGGGGCGTGGCCACCAAAGGGGAGTGTCCACCAAAGGGGCGTGGCCACCAATGGGGGTGTGGCCACAAGGGGTGTGGTCACGCAAAGGGGGCGTGGCCACCCCAGGGGGCGTGGCCACCCCAGGGGGCGTGGCCGGGGCGGGCTCAGCGCGCCCCGCCCGCGGGGGGCTCGGGGGGCGTGGCCTCGGCGGAGGGGGCGGGGTCAGGGCCGGAGGGGGGCGGGGCCTCGGC